CAGTACATACAAGGGATCGGTCCCTACACTGACTCTGCACAGGATAGCCTGTCTCTGCTGTCTCCTAGAGCTGAACATACACAGTTGAACCCTCCGAAATTGAATTAATGGGAGGTTCTGTCGGCTGGCTCCCGCCTGATAGATCAATTGAAAAAGTGTAGGAGCCAGACGGAAAATTGTTGATTGAACAATGGCTGCATCCAATCAGATACAGTCACTGTTCAGGTATTTTCACAGCCAATGGGACCGACTGTCAGGATGCAATGACCACAGCAGGAGATTTGGCTGCCTGCACTGTGTAGAGTGGATGGAGGAATCTGTTAGATTTTTTTTTTTTTCATTCAGCCTGATGTATGGCCAGCTTTAGTTGTATTACTTTTCCATTTCTCCATTGCAATAGTTTTATAGTTGGTAGTTATCATAGAAAGCTATGCTGTCCTGTGTTTTATCATATATTTATTACAGGTATTTGTACAGTGGTAACCATTTTCTGCAGTGCTTTACATACTGTACAGAATGCAAGTGTACAATCCAAACGCACACATGTTCCTGCGTTAAAAATGTGTGTGTGTATAAGTGGGTGCTGCAGCGACCGTCGGTTGGAACCGAACAGAATCAGCAAGGGAGAATGTCACCAGCACACCGAAGATCACCAATATGGGTCAAAAAGTTTTAATGAATGATCACATAGTTACAGCAAGGAAACTTTTCGGAGTCTTGCAGGACCCCTGAGTCTTTCTGTAACTATGTGATCGTTCATTGAAACGTTTGGACCCATATTGGTGATCCTCAGTGTGCTGGTGACATTCCTCCTTACATACTGTAAATTCACATGAGATGCCTGCCCTCAAGGCACTTACAATCTGTCTCACATGCACACACACACATACTTGGGCCAATTAACCCACTGGTCTGGAGTGTGGGAGGAAACCCACGCATGGACAGGGAGGGCATGCAAACTATCCAGATAGCGCCCTTGACAGAATTTGAACCATGGATCTCAATGTAGAAGGCAGAAGTGCTACTTGCTTAGCCATTATTGTACTCACGCTCATAGCTATTTATGTTGTAGCAGATGGTTAGTATACCTAAATGACCTAAATGGAATGCAGTAAATAATGACAAAACAGGTTTCAGTTTTTCGTACTTTTGAATAATCTACAGCAAAACTTGGATTGAAAAGAGGGAAGATGTTTTAAAGTATATCAAAAGCTAATTTTGTTCTTTTGTTTTTGATAGTCACCTTTTTTGTGCTAGTTTTTTTTTTAGATCATCTGCTTACCCCAGAGGAACCCTTGGAATAATTGTCTGCTTTTAGGGAACCCCAGGTAAAATGTGTTCAGTGGCAAGAATATCCCCTTACATTGGTGACCAGTAGAAAGAATGACCTCCTTATATAGGTGGTAAGTAGGAAGAGTGCATCCCATGCATTGGTGGTTAGTGGGAAGAATGCTCTGACTACATTGGTGGCCAGTAGGAAGAATGCCCCCTTTACATTGGTGGCTAGTAGGAACAATTCCCTCCACCCATATATCAGTGACCAGTGGGAAGAATGCCTCCCCTCCCTTATATTGGTGGCCAGTAGGAAGAATGATGCATTTACACTGGTGGCAAGTAGGTGGAGTGCTTCCTTTACATTGGTGGCTAGTGGGAGGAATGCTTTGGTTACATTGGTAGCCAGTAGGAAGAATGCCCTTCTTACTTTGCTACTTAGTGGAAAGAATGCCCCCCTTACATTGGCGGCTAGTAGGAACAATGCACCCTACTCACAATATCAGTGACCAGTAGGAAGAATGCCCCCCCCCCCCCCACATTGGTGGGAAGAATAATGTTCATACATTGGTTACATTGGTGGCAAGTAGGAGGAGTGCCTCCCTTACATTGGTGGCAAGTGGGAGGAATGCTCCAGTTACATTGGTGGCCAGTAGGAAGAATGCCCTTCTTACATTGGTAGCTAGTGGACAGAATGCCTTCCTTACATTTGTGGATCGTAGTAAGAAGAATGCCCCCCCCCCCTTCCATATATCAGTGACCAGTAGGAGAAAGTCTCCCCCCCCTTACATTTCGTGGTCAGAACGCCACACCTACATGCTAAAAAGATCATTGGTGTAATACTGCTGGCCCAATTGGTGTTGGCTCCAGAGCGATGCTGGTACCGTCAGACTGTAGGTCACTCAGCTACAGCTGAAAGATCCCTTAGCAACTTCTGGAGGAACCCTAGGAATCCACGGAACCCTGTTTGAGAATGGCTGTTTTAGATAGTTGCCTTTGCCCCATTGGGTTGATCTTTCTTGCAGGCAGAACAGAAAGCAAGATATTATCCCCTCTTAGACAGTTGTCAACAGATCTGTTGTTCCCATTGGAAGATTTTACCTCCATTCCGGTTGTGGTGACAACTCAGAATTTAGAATTTTACTTCTTGCTTTCAGTCCCACTGACAGAAGCCACCAAAATAAATAGAGAGGGTGAATTACTAGACAAAAATGTTAGCAAAAAGCAATTTAACTCTTTCAGTGTTGGGGGGGACCCACTGCAAAAGTGGATATTTTTTTTATTTACTAGAGATGGGCTTTAAGTATATTAAATCAGCTTCATTAGAATAAGTAAGGAAAATATTTTCCTCTGTTATATTCCTCTTTTATATCACTATATTTATTACTACTCTATAGGTGCTCTTCAAAAAACTGGGGGTTACTAGAGGCAGGTTCACACCAGTGGCCTGTGTGCTGCGGTGGGCAGTATTGCCCAATGCCGACAAAATGCAAAAAGAAGGTAAAAATCATTGCTTGGGATAAAGCAGGTTCACAGCAACACGCTGCACTGGTGTGCACTGCAAAATGATGTAGGTATCATTTTATCGAGCCGCATTACAGGGCACCGCATGTCATCGCACCGCACCACACCAGGGACTCTGCCTGTATCTGTATGTAAACTTACAGCTGGTCCTAATTACCTCCAGTTTCATTTGCTATGAACTGGAAATAATTATTTCTTGCACCCATAGCACAACTCTGTACTATAAAAAAATCACTTGAATCTTCCGCAAGTTTTAGTAAAGCTACAGAAATTGGCAAATGGAGAAACAGAAAAAGGGCGCACCGACCTAGTGCATTATCGTTTAAAATAATTTATTAAAGAAACAAAAATAAGTATCATACTCACAATGGACATAATAACACAGGCATGTCAGACTGAACAAGGTGTATGATCCAAACAACATCTGAGTCCATATGATGGAACCCTGGATGACCAACTTTCTAACGCGTTTCGAGGACACAACCTCTTCCTCAGAGCCCTCCATTTGTATCCAGTGTATTCGGACCACCCCGGTCTGTTGAGGGCAGCAAGCAGTGCATATTCCAGAAAATTCCAGAACATTCCTATTGGGTCTACTGAGTCCTTTCCTAGCGCAGGTGTAAAGTGTTTGTTGTGACGGAAATTGGCAGCAGGACATTCTGCATCTGGCCAGAAAAGTAGTGCAGTTGCTTGATTGAATACCCCCTTACGGTGTTCACCTCTTAAGTCTATAGGAAGGTGTCAGAATGCTTCAAGTACACTTGTCAATTTAATATGGTTAAAAAACATATTGCACTCACTGCATAAAAGAAGATTCGGCTGGTCACATTCCCAGGAAAGGGGGAGCTCCAGGGACCACCATTAGCAACAGAGCTTGGCAGGCAAGCGGCTGGTTCAAGCAGAGTTCAGCTGGGAAGTTACTGATGAGAGATGAACTTCACCTCTTACCAGTAGCTTCCCAGCTTAACTCTGCTTGAACCAGCCGCTTGCCTGCCCAGCACTGTTGTTTATGGTGGTCCCTGAAGGTCCCTCTGTCTTGGGAATGTGGCAAGCCGAATCTTCTTTTATGCAGTGAGTGCGATTTTTTTTACACTTTTTGTACACTTAGATGGAGGCTAGTCTTGTGTTTTGTTTTTAATGTGTGCATTAGGAATACTCAAGACCTATTTATTGAAGAGTAGCTTCCATCTTCGTCCCTAATTACAGCAGCAAATTGTGACATTAGTGGCCCAGGTTTGTGACAAACTTTATTGTATTATTGTATTAATATTTATAGTACTCAGTCTGTTCCATATGGGCTCCTTAGACTTAAGATTGGGGGGGAAAAAATGTATTCAAGTCATGTTTTTACTATCTTTGGACTGGTTCACACCAGGAATTGCACAGCAACACGCCTATGTTCCTGTGCAAATGTAATGCAGCGTATTTTCAGCCTATTCATTTGGGCTGAAATCGCATTGCACCTCACCAGAAGAAGTGCAAGCACTACTTTGAAAAATGCACTGCAACCATGTACCATGCGATCTGATGCAGGCAAAAGCACTGCTTGTGACCTTGGGTGTCGTTAGCATTGCATTGACACTGGCTGAGGATCGCAAATGCAATGCATTTTGAACATGGTGTGGGAAATGCACATGGAACATGGGTATCCCGCAATGTGTTCTGGTGTGAATGAGCCCTTAGTGAACAACCACCTTCAGATTTACCAAGAATTATGCAGTGTGAGGGCCAATCTGACAACATACAAATTGAATGGGTTGTTTAGGTAGAACCTAACATTACTTAGTGTGGGTAACTCTAAAGCTGACAATACAGTATATATTACAATATAGTTACATAGTGGTAAGGTTGAATAAAGACACCAGTTCATCCAGTTCAACCTATGTGGGTGTGTGTGCTCATGTCAAAAATCATATCCCATATCCCTTTATATTGTATTCGCTAAGATGCCCATCTAAGAGTTGTTTTTTAACTACCTCCCGCCCACCATATAAGGAAATGACGAATGGGCGGCGGTTCTGGGACACAGCAGATCACTGATCAGAGTAAAGAGCCGATGATGTCGGCTCTGTAATGTGATCAGCGGTGTCCAGTCACAGCTGATCGCATGTAAACAAGGAAATGCCAGTTATCGGCAGTCCTCTCATCACGCTGTCAGCACGTGAGGAGAGGAGAGCTGGTAATCGGCATTCCTCAGAGGGGACATCTACACTGATCATCAGTGCCCTGATGATCAGTGTAGCCCCATCAGTGCCACCTGTCAGTGCCCATCAATGTCACCTGTAAGTGCCCATCAATGCCACATACCAGTGCCCATCAATGCCACTAATCAGAGCCTACCAGTGCACATCAATGCCACATATCAGTGCCCATCAGAGCTGCCTTTCAGTGCCAGTCAGTGCCGCCAGTCAGTGTTGCCTATCAGTGCCTGTCAGTGCTGCTTAACAGTTTCAATCAGTGCCGCCTAACAGTTCCTATCAGTGCTGCCTATCAGTGTCGCTTATCAGTGCCATATATCAGTGCCCATCAGTGATGCCTGTCAATGCCCATCAGTGCCACTTACCAGCGCCCATCAGTGCAGCCTATTAGTGCCCATCAGTGCAGCCTCATTAGCGCACATCAGTGAAGGAGAAAAATTACTTATTTACAAAATTTTATAACAGAAACTTAGAAAAAACTTAAAAATAAAAAACCCAGTGGTGATTAAATACCACTAAATGAAAGCTCTATCTGTCTCAAAAAAATGATAAAAATTTTGTTTGGGTACAGTGTTGCATGCCCGCGCAATTGTCATTCAAAATGCAACAGCGCTGAAAGCTAAAAATTGGCCTGGGCAGGAAGGGGGTAAAAGTGCCAGGTAGACAAGTGGTTAAACTACCAATACTTCTTGCTGACACCACCGATTGTGGAAGGGAGTTCCACATCCTTACCGCTCTGACAGTAAAGAAACCCTACTCTATATTTAAACTGCTTCTCATCCAATTTCATTGAGTGGCCCCATGTCTTCCTATACTCCCTGAGACTGGATTGTTTGTTTTTTATGCTAGAATCACCATTGAGGTATTTGTATCGCTATCATATCTCCTCTCAAATGTCTTCACCAGGAAGAATACGTTTAATGTTTGTAGTCGTTCCTTGTAACTGAGGTCCTCCAGTCCCCTTATTAACTTTGTTGTCCTTCTCTGGACTCCCTCCAGTTCCAGCACATTGTGCAATCTCCTTGAGGCCTCATGCACACGGTCAATGTGAATTACAGGTATATGTCTGTACCTGGGAGACACGACTGCAGCATACAGCCACCCATAGTATTGAATAGCTGTAGGCTCACTGTATGTATATATGTCAAACTTGCATAAACTTGTATACATGGGTACCCAAACACATGGGTGTAAATCCTTGAATGTGGTTGTTTGCATCCAACTAAAACTGAGCTCATACTATTCCCTCCAGCCCGTGCCCCCTCCCCTGACTTCTCCATCAAGATCAATAATACAACTCAGTCCCTCCCCTCATGCCAGGGTACTAGGTGTAATCCTAGACTCCCATCTGTCCTTTCAGCCCCAAATCCAATCACTGTCCAAATGTTGTAGACTTCACCTCCGCAACATCTCCAAGATACGACCGTTCTTAACCTCGGAAACCACTAAGCAACTTATTCACTCCCTTGTTATATCTCTCCTTGACTATTGTAACTCCCTCCTCATTGGCCTACCTCATCGCAGGCTATCCCCTCTTCAGTCTATCATGAATGCTGCTGCCAGACACATCCACCTTACTAATCATTCCATATCTGCCACCCCTCTCTGCCAATCCCTTCATTGGCTTCCCATTGCCCAACGAATAAAATTCAAAACATTAACAATAACATATAAAGCCATTTATAACTCTGCCCCAAATTACATCACCAATCTTGTCTCCAAATATCACCCAAACCGTACTCTCCGCTCCTCCCACGACCTCCTGCTCTCTAGCTCCCTTGTCTCCTCCTCCCATGCTTATCTTCAGGACTTCTCCAGAGCCTCCCCCATCCTCTGGAACTCTCTCTACCCCAATCTATCAGACTATCACCTACTCTGCCCACTTTTATGCGATCTCTGAAAACCTATCTCTTCAGGGAAGCCTATCCTGCCCTCAGCTAATAATGGAATCTTCTACTCTTCCTACCAGTCCATCCCCCACAGTTATTACCTTTTGTACCACCAGCCCCTCCCTCTTAGAGTGTAAGCTCCAAGGAGCAGGGCCCTCCTAACCCTCTTGTATTGAACTGTATCGTTACTGTATTGTCTCCCGTTATATTGTAAAGCGCTGAGCAAACTGTTGGCGCTATATAAATCCTGTATTTTAATAATAATAATAATAATAATAATAATAATAATAATAATAATAATATCTGCCATTCCTCTCTGCCAATCCCTCCACTGGCTTCCCATTGCCCAACAAATGAAATTCAAAACAGTAACACTAACATATAAAACCATTTATAACTCTGCCCCAAATTACATCACCGATCTTGTCTCTAAATATTACCCAAACCGTCGTCTCCGCTCCTCCCACGACCTCCTGCTTGCTAGCTCCCTTGTCTCCTCTTCCCATGCTCGTCTTCAGGACTTCTCCAGATCCTCCCCCATCCTCTGGAACTCTCTACTCCAATCTATCAGACTATCACCTACTCTGCCCACTTTTAGGCGATCTCTGAAAACCTATCTCTTCAGGGAAGACTATCTTGTCTTCAGCTAATAACGGAATCTTCTATTCCTCCTATCAGTTCAACCCCCACAGTTATTACCTTTTGTACCACCAGCCCCTCCCTCTTAGATTGTAAGCTCCCTTTATATTGTAAAGTGCTGAACAAACTGTTGACACTATATAAATCCTGTATAATAATAATCCATGAATTTACACCCATTCACAAGTATATGCAAGTACGGCATTTACCAATATACAGCTAATGTATGAGTGGATGTACACTTTAGCTGTGTCTCCCAATCTCGCCCTCAATTTACGTCGTACAGTCTCATGAATCTGTCTATGTGCATGAGGTCTTAGATCTCCCTACATCTGTGTCGTGCAAGGACTTACTTGATTGGATACAAATTACCTGTTTCGACACTCTAAAGTTGCATAGTGGTTAGTAAATTTACAGGGGTTTGAACAAAGATTGCAATGTGTTTGGCCAATTTAAAGCATAGACATTGCCATGATCCTATAAAAGATATTACTGAACAGCCTAGCTGTTATTATTATACAGTACATCACACTATCATGTCATAAAACTGCAGCATAGAGCAGAAAATCATTATATATGCAAAGCAATAATGTATATGGAAAATGGTATACATGATGAACCATGTGGAATTTATCTGTCATTTATGGTATTTGATCCAGTATATATATATATTTTTTGGCACTGCCATTAGATAGTAGCACATTTTTGTCTTATGTATCTCTAGGGTTAAAGCCCCCAGATTACTTTTACTAAACCACCCATTGCAGATCAATACATTCTGGGAAGACATGTGTGTTCTAGGCACTAATGGAGCTGTGAAGGTCATATCATATGCACAACTGATGTTCATCCAATGACAAGGATTGATGTCTATTGAGGGAAAATCAATATAAGTAGATTAGCCATACAATAAAGTAGCAGACATCTGTTCTACAAGATATACTCTCGTCTGTGTGACCATCATTGTTGTGTCTTGTCAGTGAGGTTTTAATGGTGGCCATACAGACATTTTATCCACTTTATCCAGTGGAGGTGTCCAGTATATTCAAGAGAGGGGTCTAGGTTTAAAGTAAATGTGAACGCACAAATGCGTAGACACATGTTAATAAAGTTTATATTATCTCCTGACCATATTAGCAATTACATTTATAAAAAAACTTTTTTAACCTTTTTATTGGCATTTACTGCTGTGTGGTCATGTGACCACATAGCATTTCTTCTTGTCCTCTTCTGGCTAGTGGGGGGCAGGTTAGCTTTGGAAGTGGACAGACAGCTCATTATATCACTTACAGGCAGAGAAGTAAGTTCTAATGCTGGCCATACATTATACAATTTTCTTTCGAAAATTGCTTTAGATTTACCAAAAACCATATAATATGAGGTCAAACCTAAACAACACTTTCAATTGTATCCAATTAAGCAAGCCCTTGCACTACATAGTTGAAGGTAAATCTAAAGGAAATTGGACAGAAATTAAACGGAAAATTGTGTAGTGTATGGCCAGCCTAAGTTCCAAGGATGATTCTGGCAGGCTTTGATTGGCAGTTGGCTTAGCAGCTGACAATGGCAGACATGAGTATACCATGTGGCAGCCCTGGGATGCAAATTGACCATGCAAGCATGGATTTGCTTTGTCTTTGCATGGTCAGTTTCCAACAAGGAAGGTGCTGGGCAGGACCAAGCAGGTTTTTCTATTGAATGAAACAGTAATAGATTACTATGAAATAAATATACTGTATGTGAACTAGTTGTGTCTGTGGAATGCTGCGTGTGCAAACTGAGAACCACCCTTCATGGACCCCGCTGTATTGTTACTTTTCTCATTGTAAAGCCACAATATCTCCCATTGGCCAAAGTCAGTGCTCTAAAAGCCTCAGCAGGGATACGTGAACATAATGAGCAATATCCAATGTTTGTAAAAGTAATTATTCCACCTTGCCAATGTTTAGTGCGATACTTTCCAAAAAAGTAAATTTACATTTTCACCGCTTCCCGACCGCTCTTTAGCTGATATACTTCTACAGGACGGCACGGGTGCTTAAAATCACGTATATATACGTGATTTTGCATTTCCAGGTAGGGTATGCGTACGGCCATTCGCGGCCTCGGCTGTCAATTAGTTGCTGGCACCCGGTGATTGACGAGGATCTCCGACGGGGAGGAGAACTGTTTGTAAACAATACAGTTCTTCTCTCTGTCAGCTCGTGCACACTGCTTTGGATGGCTGTGCACAGCACAACCATCCAAAGCAGTGTGATTACAGTGAAGCACCAACACACAGCTCATAGTAAAACAGCACACAGTTAACCCTTTGATCGCCCCTCATGTTAACCCCTTCCTGCCCAGTGCCATTAGTACAGTGTCAGTGCTTTTTTTTAGCACTAATCGCTGTATTGGTGTCACTGGGGATGTCAGTGACACCAAGTCAGTTCCCTCCAATGTCAGAATGCCCACCGCAGTCCTGCTATAAGTCTCTGATCCACTACTAGTAAAAAAAAAAAATCCGCATTGTATATATTCTGCCATTTGTAAATGCTGTAACTTTCACGTAAACCAATCAATGTCCCACTCAAATTGGGATTTTTTTTTAGCAAAGAATATGTAACGCAGAATACATTTAGACCTAAATTTATTTGATATTTTCAAATTTTTTTACTTCCCTTATCTGGCCACATGTTTAATACTCTGCAAAAAAAATGGTTTGATTTTTGTAAAAAAGAAAATTGCATTTTTTTTTTGCCATCATTGAGTCAAAATCCAGACCTTGTCAGACATAATAAACAGTCTACAGTTTTCCATTTTTGTAGCATAAAAAATGCACAGGCAATCAAATCCCACAGAAAGAAAGCTCAAATCGTGGGAAAAAATCAAGCATAATAAGGAATTAGGCAGTTTAAATGACATTGGGTGCAGTATTGCGTGACCGTGCAATTGTGCAGCCATCTTTGTTGTTGTATACGCTTACTAACTGGCTGGTCAAGGGGGGGGGGGGATCCATAGAGAGGGCAGTTAAAGTAACGCAGAGAATCAAATTGTTTATGTACACCGTAACACAAAGAGAAGAGGTGATTTCTCTTCACAGAAATGGCCTGAGACACCTTAGGAAGCATCATTCGCAAATTCAAGGCAGGGCACTGTTGAAACGCTACCTGGGAAAGAAGATGCTGACTTCGACTGCTGTGCGCTACCTGAAGCGTAGAGTGGAGAGAAGTCCCCGTGTGACTGCTGAGGAACTGAGAAAAGATTTGTCAGATGTGGGTACAGAAGTTTCAGCCCAGACAATAAGGCACACTGCGTAATGAAGGCCTCCGTGCCAGAACTCCCAGGCGTATTTGCTGTCTCCAAAGAATAAGAAGAGTCGACTGCAGTATGCCAAAAGCCATGTGGACAAACCACAAAAGTTGTGGGATAGTGTTCTGTGGACTGATGAAACAAAATTAGAACTGTTTGGGCCCATGGATCAACGCTATGTTTGGAGGAGGAAGAACAAGGCCTATGATAAAAAGAACACCTTGCCTACTGTGAAGCATGGTGGAGGGTCAATCATGCTTTGGGGCTGTTTTGCTTCTGCAGGTACAGGGAAGCTTCAGCGTGTGCAAGGTACCATGAATTCTCTTCAGTACCAGGAGATTTGGATGGAAACGTGATGCAGTCCGTCACCTTGGGAGACGTTGGACTTTCAACAGGACAAAGCTAGAGCATGGTTGCAGAGGAAAGGCATTTTGGAGTGGCCATCGCAGTTTAAATCCGATTGAGAACCTCTTGGGACTTAAAGAAAGCAGTTGCAGTGAATGTGACTTGGAGGCCTTTGCCCATGAAGAATAATCTCGCTGAAACATTGCAAGCTTTTTTTAAAAGCTTTTATAACTGTAAAAGGATGCCATACATTGAGTCACTTGGGGTTGAATAAAACAAATGCCCAGAAAAGACATTTGTGGTTATTTCCAACTGACCCTACAAGTGCTCTTTAATGTAAATGTAAGCAATGACTGAATCCCAGACATGTCAATAAACAATTTCAGTGGGGGTTCTAATTTTGGACAAACTGTACGTATGATTTTCCCCAAACAACAACCACATTCACAGTTAGATTTTTGTTTGTTTAAGAAAAAATTCCAATCCTGCCTTTTTTGAATCTTCCTGCCTCTACGTTTGAAAATGAAAATCAATTTTTTACACCACTGATCTTTAGAAATTCAAATGAATGTTCCATAAACAAACAATTATCTACTGGTGTATGGTCAACTTAAATATGTCTGGCCACCCATGTGTCCCCCATAAGCTTGAATAGAGTAGTGAACCAATGGTGGCATGTGCCTTTTTGAATTACGTGAAGCATCATTTTTATTAGGAGCACTTTCAAGACCACAGATTAGGCTCATGTAGATTAGTGCTGCTTTCTTGTGTTTGACGTCCATTTTAAATACATATCAAAGGCAATCAGCTAAGTTCCCAATGATTCCAATAGAGTAGAGTACACGATGGTTCATTCCACATGGAAAAAAAATATATTTGAAATATATTTTAAAAACATTCTTCCGAAATATATTGACATTGATTTGAAATGCTACAATTTTGGCCATATTCAATATATATTTCAAAATATATTTCAATAAATTATACATATATACTGCATGTTGAAATGCGTTTTTATTACAAAATATATGAAAAATATTTTTAAAAATACATTTCAAATATACTGTATGTCTTTAAAAATAGAAATCTACGATTTTGGAATGCATTTACAATTATATGTAAAAATATTACAAAACATATGAAAAATATTTTTAAAAATATATTTTTTTAAATATATTCTTCAGATTTTTTTTAACATATAAAAAATTCATTTTAACATATATTTTTACATATATTTGTAAATGCATTCCAAAAATGTAGATTTCTATTTTTAAAGACATACAGTATATTTGAAATGTATTTTTAAAAATATTTTTTATATATTTTGTAATAAAAACGCATTTCAACATGCAGTATATATGTATATATTTATTGAAATATATTTAGAAATATATTGAATATGGCCAAAATTGTAGCATTTTAAATATATGGCAATATATTTGGGAAGAATATTTTAAAAATATATTTTAAATATATTTTTCTTCCATGTGGGAGAGGCTGCGCTTGAATTGCTTTCCCTTGCATGTCTTTGGACGCAGCATAGCTTATCGAGGTGCATTTGAACTACAAACAGAGCAGGTCAAACACAACCTTTTCCCGTCAAAGGCAGCATTTTCCATTTGAATGTGTGTGCTTGAGTGGCTACAAGAACGTCCACTCATAAGGTGTCAGAGAACATTAGATGAGTGATTTCCACTCTAGGATCTACCCAAAGCTAACACCAGTTTTAAAGTGGTTGTAAACCTCAGACATGAAATATGAAGAAAGCATATCCCTTTACAGTGTGTACTTGTCTCAGTCCATTCAGTCATTTCTGTCTGCTGCCTCGTTCCCCTGCTATCTGCATGATTCATTTCTGAAAAGTTTTCCTGACACCAAGAGAAAAATGGTGATTGTGGAGGGACCTCCAGCACACAGTCTGTGATTGATAGCCCCAGCTCTGTTCCTGTGGTTTGTGTGGAGGGGGTGTGTATCTTCCCTCCAATCAGCTCTCACTGAGCTGTGCAGAGTGTCAGAAAAACAGTTTAAATTCTGTACTTGGTAAGGCTGTAGAGGAGAGAGGAATGAAGATAAACAGGTAAAACTTCTGTGAGAGGACTTTGTTTCATCTTTGTCTATCACCAGAGTCTAGTCACTTCACGGGGTATATGTAAGTGTTAACAACCACTTTAAGTGCACCGACCCTTTAAAACCATGTTTTGTTTGAAATTGGTTGCAGAACAGATTCTTAGTGATCAATTAGGATAATAATCCATCATATTCAAAATTGAAAGTATAATTGAAGTTGAGATCATTGTTAATATAATTTTATGAGTGACTTCAAAGAAGTACAGTCCCCTTGTTAGAGAAGGGATTGCCTGATCGTCATCTCTACACAGAGGGTTGCTAGGAACAATGGTTCAGCAGAGGGTCAAGTAGTCATCTGTAAGCCGCTGGGAACAATTATGTGATTGAGGCTGGAGTGTGCTTGAGCAGAGTCCGATAAGGGTATACCTGACTTGGAGTTAAAAAAGAAAACCCGAACTGTAACTTTGATTGAGTCTCATTACTGAAAAAAGACAAGTTTATTCAACTGAACAGAAAAAAAATATGCATTCCTAAAATATATTAATCCTGTTGTCAACTTGGAATTCTGTAGACAACCTCCTTTTTTGAGTTTTTGGCTCTATAGACTTCAATGGGAAAGCTGCAGAAAAGCATGTATTTTGTTTTTGATGCATTTTTAGTGCGTTTTAAATCTGCCTAGCAACAAGAAAAATAAAAAAAATTAAAAAAACCCCCCACAAAACGCAGCAAAAACACATAAAAAATGCAGGTGCAAAAACGCATCGCAAAACGCAATGCAGAAACACCTCAAACTCAACCTGCATAGGTGTGAACCGAGACTAAAGCTGGATACTCATTGTAAGAAAATCGGAAGAAAACAAGGAACGATCGAGTTTCGTATAGTGTGTACACAAAGTTTGACATATGACTCAGACATTCCAAATGAAAATTCCCAAAGGGAAAAACTCCAAAATCTTTCTCATACGTGAACAGAGCTAACGATTTTCGTTTTAATGTGTACTATTTTCGAGGACAAAAATTTGTATTCGATTGACTGTGCATGATCACAAACAATAAACAACAATAATCTACAGTACAATGTTCCTATATTAAACAAAAAAAAGCCTTTGTCAATCGAGAATTTTCGTATAATTAATAACATCCTCGGGTCGGCTTGCTGTGAAACATCAAGGAAAACTGGACAATCATCCGTCTGATTTTTCTATTGTGTGCATCCAGACCGAGAACTGAGTAATCAAAGACCACTGATTGCTTAGTTCTCAGTCTTCAGTGAGCAGAGATGGTGACTGTCAATCACCGGTTCTTTGCTCTGCCCCTCCAGTGCTTATTGGAGCGCTGGGCTGTGGAGGGCATGGTGCACTAAGAGACTGAGCCAGCTGCTTTTAAGGCACCTGGGTGGATTCCGACATTAAAGTCAGGATCCATCCAGAGCTTGGACCAGCTAAGTGATGTCGGCCAAACCCATAATCAGCTGAATACAGTTTACAGGAGTGCACCCCTGTGACCCACAGGAGAAGTAGGGCCAAAAGAGCTTTGGCCCTACATCTCCTTTAAGAAATGCCTTTACTGCAATAGCAGATAGAATATACACCTGTTTGGGCTGAAATTTTTTTTGCAGGCAGTAATATCTCTTTTTCTTATAGCATCTGGCTACAAGAGGCCAGTTTGGCTAATATGTCATCCAACAGAGCATTAATGAGATTAGAAATATTCCTCCTATTTAAAGGTAACCTGTCAAGAGAGAAAATGGGGGCTTTTTTCTGAA